GTTGTCTTGAGTTCGGAAGGTGGACTCTCGAGCAACGCCGCATCTTGCAGACCTGGCCCGCGCGGAAGCCGCGGCGCATGGCAGACCGAGCGGGGAATTCGCAGCGCGAAAAGCATGTTGTGCGTGACAGGCGTGGAAGATGTGCGCCGAGCGCTATCTGCCCCGTGCATCGATGCATGTCAGCAGTGTCATGTTCGCATGTACTGCTAAAGGTCCCCGCAGCGGTGGCGACGATGCGGCGGCTGCTTCATGCGGAGATGTCGCGACGCGCGAGCTCACCAGCCTTGATATCAGCACCGCCGTGAATGCAGCGAGGCACCATGACCAGTGGCGCGCAGAAAGAGCCGGGCGCAATGACGAAGCAGCGGGGCGGAAAGATCCGAGCACGCAAAATCCTTGATTAGCTCGAGAAATTGGAGCAAGTGGACTGGCGAAACGCACGGCTGCGACAACTTCCTTGGCATTGCGCCTGGCCGAAGCAGGCAGATACCCAATTGAGGTGGGCGCGCCGCTGCGAAGACATGGGTGGGGAACCAACGCGCAGGAATAACATTGACGACGCACCGTCGACGGGCGAGCTGGAGGGCAACGCGCGGACACGCGCGGACAAAAATAGTTTTGCCATATACACGTTGGAGAGCGCGACCAAAAAGAGGGAGGTGCGCATGTTTGGCGGGGTAGCGCGTTGCTCCTTGGAGAATGGCGGTAGCTGTGGCCCACGACAGATCGCCCCGATGTCCGACCCGCGCGCGGTGGAGGGCCAGACGGCCGGGGAGATCACGCTGTGATGTTGGTGCGCGCGGGGCGATTGCCACCATCATCTGGCTTTGCAGCAGTGGAGTTCAGGAGAGAGTTGCTGCGCTCCGACTGGTATCTCGGCGGCGTCATTGACGCGCGCCGGGAAGGGAAGCTCTGATGCTCCGCGCGGTCGGTTGCCGCGTCTCCCACGGGCGCCACACGAAGGAGCGCATCTGCGTCTGGTAGTCCCGCCGCAAGGAGAGCGACTGCGACCGCGACGTTGGGCGCTGCGTTTACATGCCGCGTTGCATCCGTGAGAATTGGGACGCGTGCCCCTCTGATTGGAGGCGCGAGTGCTACGGTTGTTTGGTAGAGCGCAAGCGGCGTGCACGAGTGTAGCGGCTAGGCGCGCGCGAATAATGAGACAGCGCAAGGCTAGTCGATCTCTGCGTCGCAGGTGTCATTCTCATCGCGCCGCACAACGCCGTGGCACTTCACTTGGTTAGCAGAAACTCTTCGCGCGGCACAGCCGCGCCGCGCCGGGCGCGGCGCCGGGCTCGCGCGCCAAGGGACCATTCCATTCCAACTGGGCGCGCGCGCGAAGAGAAGCGAAGATGGATACTATTCCAAAGAGACCTACGTACCCTGAAGCATGATCCTCGCGCGCGCAGAAATACCGCGCCGCGTCGCGAACGGCAGCGGGGCCAAGTCAAGGAGCGCGGCATCCACGGCGCGGAGCGCGTCTCGAAGGGTTGAGAGCTGACGGCCACAGACCTCGCCAGACTGAAGGATGCCACTGGTGGAAATTGCGTTGCTTGATTTTCCGAAAGTGATGTTTGCGCAAATGAATGCACCCATTAATAAGCAGTTAAAATGCTCGGGCGCCAATGCGCCCCCAATCTGGCCCATGACGAACTCCAGGCACTTGGACACATAGTGCCCCGCTGCAATTTTGCGCAAGGACTACCCGCGCGGATTCGGCGAAGGGGCACGCGCTGCACGCTGCCATCTGGGCGACGAAGGGCGCGCAAGCACGGCCCGGCCGCCCTTTCCGCCCTCGGCGCTGGCGGGCTCCTCTTCGGCGAGTTGGGCGGCAAGTGCGGGAAAGTCGCCAGCGAGAGCAACTTCTGGAAAATGCTGGCGGCAGCGCATTGGCAGCGACGGGGGCGCAAACATAGCGAGCGGAAGCCGAAGCCATGGACAGATTCTTCCCAGCTCCACTTGAGAGACAAAGGAGATCCTACTTGAACCCTCGAGCGCAGCCAGCGGAGCCTTCCCCCTCGCTGTTCACGGCGCGGCCTGCGCCGCAATCCCGTCTGCGAGGAGGACGCCGTCGGCGCGGATGCGGAAGAGAGCCGGCGGCGCAAATAGCGCGGGAACGCGCTCCTAAGTCGGGCTGCTCCGCAGCCGCGCGGCAGAATCGCAGCCGAGAGCAGAGCGCCGTCTGCCCCATCTGCCAAGGCACAGAGACAAGAGCGCCACCCTTGCCGCGAGAAGCAACCGCGGGCCGAGCTTGCCAGTTCCACGTGGCACCGCAGGCGGGGGCAGCGCCCGCGCTGTGCCGGCTGCGAGAGAGAGCTGGAGAAGAGGCAGCCAGGCGGCCTCTGCAGGACAGGCGAGACGGAGGAATCTTTCTTGCACGAGCAGTGGAGGCATCGGAGTGAACGCGGCCGGATTCTGTGGCGTTGCGACTGTTGGCGCCCGAAGCGCAGACGTTCGAAGTGCAAGAAACGCGCGAATTTCAAAGATCCGACTTCGGAGCTGGTCTCGAAGAGCATGCCGCAGGCGCGAGGGGCGCTGCGTGCCCCAGCGCTCGCTCTGCAAAGGATGGAAGACGAAAGCGGGCTCTTCGACAAAGTGGCCAGGTAAAAACAGTTGGCCAGGTCGCCGCGCGAGTCGCATCGCCTGCTGCCCCCCGCATCGGGTGGCGCCCAATTGCCACATGTGTTGCCGTAGCGCGGATTGCAGTGGAGAGAAGAGGAGTTGCAAAGGCGTCGACGTGGCGCTGAATCCGAATCAGATGCCCAAGTCACTGGCCGAGGTGATTTTTTTTCTGCGAGAGTTCCTGCTTCGTTGCCTGCGCGATCTAGAACGGCGACGGTCGCATCTGTGGGAAGGCGGCGCCAAAAAGATGAGCCATGTTGTTTTCCCGAAGATGGTGGAGTCGTACAAATGCGGCGAATGTTTTTTCGGCGCAGAAGGGCAAGGAGTCGATCGGCCGAAAGAGTGCAACGCTTGAGGTTGCTACAAATGCCTGCTTGGCAGAGGTGGGATGCGGGCGACGGTTCCCCTGCGGGCATGATTCCAGAGAGTGTCTCAACAGCCCCATGATGCCGGCAATGCTCTGCGGGTAATCTGTCAATATGATAGGATTGTGAGCGAGCTGTCTATTAGCGTGGATTTCCGCGCCCGGCGCGCGACGCAAACGCGTGAGATTCGAAGTGGGTGCGTGAGTGCGAATGCCAGCGCAGCGCCCAGCTAGAGTGTCAAAATCAGGTGGGTACTTCAGAAAAGGTGATGATGAGTTGTTCGTTCATACTGGTGCTAGCAGCATTTGGCAATTTAAATTTGGTGGTTACTATCCCAAACTGAAACTCATAGCGCTTGACGTATCATGCTCGGTTCTGGCACTTGGAAATGATACCGTTCAGACCGTCGGTGTCACTATCATCCCTCGGTGTCACTATCATCACCGCAAGGGCGGCTGACCCAAACGCGTCCGAAAGATTTGCGCGACATGCGAACAAGTCTGTGACTAGCACTTGTCGGGTAAGAGAGTGAGTGTTCCGAGCGGTAGCGTTTGAGACATATCGACCGAGGAGGGAAACAAAAACAACAACACGAGAAGGGCAATGTGAAGGCGCACGGGGAAAAGGACGAGGAGGAGGAGGACAAACAAATGACGATGCATATGGCATGGGGACGAAGAGTTGCACGACGACGACGGCGGCGACGACAATCTCGACGACGACGACTATGTACCTGTTGAGGCATATCGACACTATCAGGTGCCAGTATATGTACATGCCACGTACCTGGTGAAGCATGCCACTTGTAGGCCAGACCTGGTACGGACGAAGTACCACTCCAGGCATGTCGTCTGTATACCTCGGATGGCAACTGATGCATCACTCTTGCATTCCCCAAATGGTACCCGACACGTACAACTGTGGGCATGTCGCCAGTATGTTGCATGTGGCCTCTGGGGACCGTGCGTGGATCTCTGGTGCCTGCGTCTTGGGTGATGCGGTGAATGCCTCAGGTGGTACAGCTTAAGGCAGGTCAATCGAAGAATGAGGAAGGATAGTTACCAGCAAGAGGAGGAAAATGAGGGGATCCACGGGGAGGACGAGGAGGAAGAGGAAAAGGACAGTGCATATGATATGGACACGCAGAAAGAGACGACGACGACGGCGAAGAAAACCACGACGACGACAACGACGACAGGATTCGGGGATGTTTGTAGGGATCTCGTGCGGAGCCTCTCGGGGGCATCTTGGGAACAGGGTTGAAGTTTTTGGGGGCCGTGTTGAGGCCTCTTGGTGCCCACGTTGGGTCTCTTTGGGGGTGTTACGGCGCCTTTCGAGGCCTCTTGGGGGCCTCCTGGGGAGACAGGAGGCCTCCTGGAGCGGAAAGCTTAAACGCTCGGTTCGCGTTCCTCCTCTTGGGCCCCTCTTGGGGCCGAAACGTCGCAGATGAAGTGCACACGCGTCGGGAATTCAGCGATGTGTGCCTCTAGGGGCCCTCGTGGGAGAGCTTTTGGAGGCCTCTGGGGCCCTCTTTGGCCGTCAGGGAGCAAGTGTGGGCGTTTTCGGGCGATAGTTTGGCGATTCTGTGCATTCTTTGGACCGTCTTGAGAACGCTCTTGGTCCCTCGTTGCCCGTTTTCGGGCCCTCTTGGACCCGAAGCGGTCACGGGACAAGACGCGGGAAGGCCCAGGAGATGTTGTGAATGTGGGGTCCAGGCCCTTCAGAGACTCATGAGGAGCGAAGGTTGAGGCTTAAGGGGTAAGGCAAGTGACCTGAGGTGAGGGCACGCCCACTCCGTGCTCAGAGGCACGGTGCCGGATTCAGTATCGGCTCTTCTTTTTTTCCAGGGGGGAGTACGGTAAGAGAACCGTATGGAGGAATGGGGGGCAGGAGGGGGAGGAGAAACAGAGTGAAGGAAGGACCAGAGAAAGATGGAGGTTCGACCAGCAGCGGTTGCCGTGGCAAGGGTATGTGAAATGTTGGTGTTTGAATTGTGGGTTGTCGGGGTTGGAGGATGTTATCGCGCTGCAGCCGACGCGCGCTGAAGGCCGCGCTCTTGTTCCATATGATGATGTCGAGATCTCCAGTTGCAGGCATATGGAATGAGCACCGCGTGATAGCTGAGTCTGGTTCGCAGGCGACCCGTACTCATATATTATTGCACCGTTGAGGCGGCTAACGCGCAAACTATCCGTACGATCCACTGTGTTAGCGCAAACAGCACCCACCGACGTGTTCCATGCTTGTTTGAGTGTATGTTGGAAAAGTATGGCGCGTTCAATTCGAGATTGTCACAACGGTATGTGATCACTTGTAGAAAGAGATGGCCTTGTCTGTCTTTACGTTGACGGTTTTGTCAGGTCCGCATGGTGCATGTTTGATTTTGACATGGTTATTTGGCTTCGTTCCTTGCGGCCCACCCCCGTTTCTTCCCTTTCCCCGATGCGCGTACCTACCATCCCCCTCATTTGGGGATCTAGTAGCTTTGCTCGTTCCGAGCCCCTCGGAGAAATGATTCCACAGGATCCCCCTCGAGTGCTGAATGTAACGTGTCATAGGTGTCCCCATTCTTCTGTTCTGGCGCTCTCAGCGTACGTGTCGGTTGCTTGCATTTTCAGCATGCAGCGCATTCGAGTTTGCATCTCTGCTGGTTTGAGCGCGCCTGCCGAGCGCACAAAGGAATTGGTTATCGCATGGCTTGCATCTGTAAATCTCTGGAAATAAACATACCATTTTAGTGCTGCGAGCGACTTCTAGCACCAGAGGTAGCAGTACGCATCGTAGCCGTATAGAAAGTAGTCGTAGTCGTCGTGGAAAGTGTGGCCTCGTTCCAGGTCGAAGTTGCAATGACCAGTGGATGCGCAGTAGCAGTAGTCAATAGTTGCAATTGGGGATGGTGAGTTGTAACAGCCGTGCTCGGCAGCAGTAACAGTATCACCTGTAGTCGAAGACGGGTAGTAACAGCAATGGCGGCGGTCGCATCATCCGTATCGTTGCCCAGGAGGTCATCTACCGGCAGTGGACGTTGGTATAATTCAGTTGCAGCAGAGGTTTCATTGGCAGCCATACGAGTTCGTTAGTATTCCATGTAGCTTGAGTGCGGTTCATGGTTAGTACCAGAATGTCATGGGGTATTGACGGTGACAGTTGGGGGTGGTGATGGCAGAAGTTGGGTATGGTACGGGTTGGTGACACCACGGGGTCCACTTGTTCGGCACCCGTCTAGACAGGACATCACTTGCACTTTCAGATAACGCGAGCGTGCGCGCGCCACGTGACCACGTCAGGAGATCGTTTCAGGACAGGCTGGCATCCTGTTCGGTTCCTGAGGCAGCTTTTGATGCTGCGTAAATACGGAATTGCACATATGTGTTCCTATCACACCTCTGCGATCCTCCATGTGGGCGGTGGAATTCCCTGAAGACAGCTTCGGGATATCTCAGGAAGCCCTTGAGAACCCACGTAAATTCAATCTGAAGTTTTGGCGGTTTCAGGGTGTCTTGTAGAAGTCATTACTTCTCGCGGGGGGTAACGTGTAGTGATAGTTCGCGGGTTCGTTTGGAAGTCTTGCGTCAGGCTCGCCATGTGCGCGAGGTGCGTCGCTCGACTGATGTGCGGTAGGTGCGTGCGACACGCCTGCCAGGTGTGCCAGGTGAACCAGGTGCAACGGGCGTGCCAAATGCGCCCAATGCGCCAGCTGCGCCATGGAGCCAGGCGCGCAAAGATGGTCCTCTAAGTGACGACTCTTTTCAAACAGTTATTCAACAACAAATTTGATCGTGAACGTTTGTCAATGTGCATGAACCGTTCATGCTAATGCTGGAGTTTGGGCGTGATGTTAAATGATGCCAACGCTAGCAGCCGTAGGAGCAGTAGCAGTAGCAGAAGCAGTAGTAGTGCATGTGTGGCAGCTGCACCCTCCCTCCATGGGCCACTTTACGTTCTCCCTGCCAGGCAGAACTGACACCTAAATGACCCAACCCTTCTCCTTGACGCTGGCTCTCCCCCTCCCTCCTCCGCGACAGCCTTTCCTCATATTTGTTCTCCCTCCCCTGCCCTGCATTCCCCTTGGATTGCCTTTTCTCCCTCGTCATCCCTTCCGTCCCTCGCTCCGTCCCTCTCATTCTACCTCTTCTACCATCTTCCTCCCCTCCCGTCCCACCTCCCATTTGCCCTCCCTGCTCCTCCCTTTACCACCCTCCCGTTCCCTCCTCACTTCAGCCTCCCCCTGCCCCACTCCCTACATCTTCATCGCGTATCTAAATGAAGGACAGAGGAGGAGCATGGAAGAGGAGAGTGGAGATGGGAGGTGGGACGCACACCCACACACACCTTTAGATGCTGGTCTCTTTGTATAAATTTGGGCGTATAAGCAGGGAGTCAAGTCATTGCAGCCATTCTTTCGCATCTGCATCACTTCACACCTACATGTTCTGCCCCTGTTTCTACCGCCCCTACGCTTTCCTACAAGACAGACGGTTTCGTCCGTTGTTGGTGGCAAGCGCGCCAGGAACCCCCGTCAGGCATTTGTTCAAGGCCCCTCAATCGTCTGCTCCACCATCGTCGGCGTCGGCACCAGCTGGGCGGGCAAGGCAACACATGATCCACAGCCCACTACATGAAGTGGACGGGCTTGACGACGAATCCTGTGCCAGAGCATTGCAAATCAAAGTTCAAACATGCCTTATCGAAGCTGGTGGAGCACAGCAGGACGAGGGCGATGGTGAAGGCAGCGAGGCACCATTGATATTGTCCAACATCGAGACGCTCACTGCACAACGTATACGACCGATTGAGCAGTAGATTGCATCAGTTAGAGAGCGTGGAGTTTCACAGCACGACCTCCAGATGACAGCGCAGCCTCTCAAAGCCGGTCTGGATGAATGGAAATGCCGTTTGGGCCGGCTTCCACGCAGTCCACAGCAGCAGCGTCGACGAATACGGCGACGGCCACTGGGCTCGAGGACCTTGAACATCACGTTCTTGCGCTGGGTCCGGCCTCCAGCGCGCAATCACAACGCATGAGCACTGGCATCGACGGCCTGAGAGAGATCACAACAGTTGTCGGCGACATGGGCGGCTTGGATTCGTCCCCAGTAAGCCAAGGATTGGGCACAACAGCACAATCTGCGCACATGAAGGGACTTCTATCTTAACTTTATTTCGAAGGCGAGTGCACGAACATCGTGTCCTCCGGTTTCGCAGACACAACTGCAGTAGCTGCGGCAGTAAAGTTCTGCAGAAGCACAAGTTTTACAATGCGGGGCCATTCTAGGCAGACCGCCAGATGTTGGTTTCGAGTACATCATGAGAAACACCATGCACTTGGAGTGCATAATCAAGGTCATTGACGGCTTACTCCTGCAGGTCTTCGTCTTGGGGGAACTAGCGATCGCCGCAATATTTTCGGATGAATCTCCCGATCGCGTTCGCCCCCCTCGTCTATGTCCCCAGGCCTTTGGGCGCGAAGGCGGCGAGTCTGGCTTCGCGGACAAAGAAGCGCGGGCCAACGCAGTCTCGTTGAAACAAGCCTTTTCCAGCAACCTTGGTAGCGCCAAAAGAGGGCGCGCAGCCTGCTGGGGAACCGAGGGATCTCTACCTGGAACGCGCAAGCTTGGCCAAAGTATGTCCATAATTTGCGCCAGAGTTTCTACTGCATGGCGCAGTTTCATATTGCTACCTTGTGAACGCAAGGAACACTTTGCAAACGCTTCCATGAATTTATGAGGAATAGGCACTTGCTCATATCCCCGGATACCTCAGAGGAACACGCAGAAGATTTCTATTCAGGCGCCGGCTCCGCGATTGCGCCATCCGCGCTTCGAGTCTCAAAGCGCGCGTCGCGGCAAGTACGCAGCGCGGGCGCGCCCCCCCCCGCCCCCCCCCTCCCCCCCCCCCGCGCTGGCAAAGATTGCGGGTTTCAGAGATTTGCATTCGATTCTTTTGGGGCCTCCCGAGTTTTCGCGCGCGCGCGTTGAGCTGCGCGGATTTCAGCGCTTTTGTTTTTCCCGGAAAGGGCTTTGGCCCAGGGTTATCTTTTAGTATGTAAACATGTCCCCGGTGCCCAACTTGAAGGAGGCCGGCGGATTCTTTCCCTGATAAGTATCGAGGTCGAAGGAGGCCGGCGGATTAAAATTTGAGGATGTCTCAGGCGAAACGCTTGTTTTTGAAATCCCGATCGATAAATCACAGGGTGCGGGACACCTCAGCACGACCACACCCCCAGCATGACCACACCCCAGCACGACCACGCCCAGCACGACCACGCCCCAGCACGACCACACCCCAGCACGACCACACCCCAGCACGACCACACCCCAGCACGACCACACCCCAGCACGACCACACCCCAGCACCAGCACGACCACACCCCAGCACGACCCGATCGATAAATCACAGGGTGCGGACCACCCCAGCACGACCACACCCCAGCACGACCCCACCCCAGCACGACCCCACCCCAGCACGACCACGCCCCAGCACGACCACACCCCAGCACGACCACACCCCAGCACGACCACACCCCAGCACGACCCCACCCCAGCACGACCCCACCCTAGCACGACCACACCCCAGCACGACACACCCCAGAACGACCACACCCCAGCACGACCCCACCCAAGCACGACCCCACCCCAGCACGACCACACCCCAGCACGACCACACCCCAGCAGGACCCCACCCCAGCACGACCCCACCCCAGCAAGACCACACCCCAGCACGACCACACCCCAGCACGACCTCACCACAGCACGACCACACCCCAGCACGACCACGCCCCAGCACGACCACGCCCCAGCACGACCACGCCCCAGCACGACCACCCCCCAGCACGACCACCCCCCCAGCACGACCACCCCCCAGCACGACCACCCCCCAGCACGACCACACCCCAGCACGACCACTCCCCAGCACGACCACACCGCCTTGGTTGAGTGGTTGCCTGTCGTCGTGGAATGTTTCGTGGGGTGTCTCGTGGAATGTTTCGCGGGGTGTCTCGTGGAATGTTTCGTGAGGTGTCTCGTGGAATGTTTCGTGAGGTGTCTCGTGGGATGTTTCGTGAAGTGTCTCGTGGGATGTTTCGTGAGGTGTTGCCCAGTTGGGTATCGTGAAAACGTGTCCATGCTCCACATGTCTATATCCCTTTCCGGGTTCGTGGGTCCATCATGTTTCTCATAAAGCGGGAGGCTGGTAAGAAAGACGCGATGAAAAGCACGCGCGCGAGTCGCCCCCGCCGCCGCGACTGGCGCAGACCAATACAGGATGGTCGTTGGAAACGCGCAGGGCTGCAGCCACTCGCGTTCGCAGCGCGCTCTTCGAGCGCGCCGCCGCCAGCGGCGCGAACGCAAGCGGCGCGGCTCCCCAAGGGCATTTCGTGCAGTTCAACTCATTGCTGCCAGGGGTTGCCAACGTAGAGATGGGGCGCGCTATCTGGGGAGCCCGCACAGCGCGGCTGCCGACCAGGCAAATCGCGACGCCGGCGCTGGCGAACATTACTTCGAGCGCGCGCAAGAGATGGGGCCCGATGCATCCCGCCGCCGAGCCTCGCTGAGAGGGCCCCCAATATTCTCCAGACACAAAAGTATAAATGCCGCCAGCTAGGGGGGCGGCTGTCTCACCCACTCGAGCTGGCGGCACCTCGTTCCGGGCATGCCTCCAGAGAGCGCCTGGAACCAGGTGCCACCAGCGCGAGGGGTGGGGGGGGGCGCCATTGCCTCGCCAGTGCAGTTAGACCGCGCGAGAGCAGACGGAACAGGGGAGGACGCGCAAGGAAGCAAGGGACGGGGCAAAACACAATCGCCGGACTCCACGCTGGTCGGGGGTTCTCGGGGAACAGTTCGGGCATTAAAGACGGGGCCTCCGAAGGCGCCAGAGGCAACCGCGGACAAATTGGAGGGCGCCGCATGGAGCGACCAGCGATCGAGCGCACTGGCGGATCAGATCAGCAAAAACTATGGACCGCCAGTTTCCCAGGCAACTTGCCTGGCAGGACGGACTCACCGCGGCGCCCTCTACGCATTAAGGCAGAGGAATTTCCCATGAAGAGTTGTTGCGATAATTCCAAGCGTGGCGGCATCAAAAGCAGCGGGCGCCAATGTAGGATCTTTGCATTTGCGCCAGAAGGGGCGCGCGGATCCCCGCTTGCTCTTTGCGCGGGGTGCTGGAAGCATAAATGCATCCCCGCGGAGCGGAACGCAGCGAAGGCGGCGCCATTGCATCGATGGGGCGCGCCAGCTGGCCAGAGAACTACTGGCCAAGGTCGTCATAGACAGTAGGCTACAAAGACTTGGCCTTGGCTTTTCAGCAAAGAGTGCATCACGGGGAAGAGGATCACTCGATCAACGCAGTCAGGCCCCAGGCCAACACGCGGCATAATGGATGCAATCGCACCAGCAGGCCGCATGTCCGATGCAGCCCGCGCTGCAGAGGAGTTTGGTGCCCTTGCTTGATTATTGGGTTGGGCAAAGGCCTTCGACCGCATCAAACGCGGGCCGACGTCCTTCGCGCTTCGCCAGATTTGGGATTCCAGTTCAGACGGTCAAAATGGTCAAGGCAATATGTGACGACGGGGTATTTGGCGCGAAAGACTCCTGGGGCGACTCGGCGACCAGAAATTATTGGGGGCGTTGCGCAAGGTTGCCCGGTGTCGCCGCACGCGATCAGCATTTGTCATGCAATCGTGATGTTCGGCGTCGACATGCTGCACACTTCTTTGACGAGTGATTTCGACGATCCGGATTACGGAGTGCGTGGTGATGTGTCGTGTCTTGACTGTGCAGTTCTACCGGGCGCAAGTCCAGTGGATTCGAAAATTGCAGTTGACGCCGTTACACTAACAAGACGAGAAATTCGGATTTGGACTCACCCGGGAGAAATCAATGATGCTGAGAATACGCAGCGACGGCCAAGCGTTCTCACTGGATGGGCATGAATTGGGTTCTATGGGACAGGCCGTATATTCCTTGGGACCTATTGAGCACGAGCGTGGAAAGCAAGCCAGAGGTGTCCTGGAATATTCCAGTACGGGTTATCCAACTTGTTTGACTAATTTTGAAGCTATGCGAATGTTGCGAATTGCAAAACGAGGGTCGTTGGAGCTGTTCAAGGCAGTTATGCAGCGGACTTGTTTGTCAAATTTGTGACCGATGTGGGTTTTCAAAGCAGCCCGTAAGAGATTGGACAGTTTCCAGGCGGCTTGTTTGCGACAGGATCGGGATATACTTTATGCGGACACACCAAGGATGATCACAGGATGCGGTGAGGACGCGTGCACGAGGACGCGTGCACGCGCGCGCCCAGTGAACTGCGACCTCTAAGGAAGGCAAAGCAAGGTGTATAGCAAGAAAAACTAGATGGGCAACGTGGGTCTTCCCATACGCGTTTGGATTGTTTTTTGAGCGCAGATCGAAGAGTCAGTCAGTTGCCATGGCGGTGCGCCGTTTTGGCGCTTTGTTTTCTTGGTTGGCGGGGGGTGAGAGGGAGAGGGAGAGAGGGAGGGGGAAAGCGAGAGAGAGAGAGAGAAGGAAAGCGGCGTCCGGCGCATCGCGCGCACGAAGGTTATTATTGGCAGGCGATCAGTCTGCAGGGCTTGGGGCACTTGCAGGAGGCCCCCGGTTGCACGATTCGCCGTTGTCGTCGTAGTCTCCAGTTTCGCCCTCCTCCTGCTACACATCCCTACTCCTCCTCCCTCCTCATCCTCCTCCTCATCCTCCTGCTCTTCCTCCTGATCCTCCTGCTCCTCCTCCTCCTAATCCCCCCTCGTCTCCACCCCTCTCTTGAACATCTCCTCATGTCATTCTCGCCCCTCCTCATCCATATTCTGGTTCCGCTTATTCCTCCTCGCCTGGTGCCTCATGCGTTATCTCGGCCTCGCTTGCGGCGCGGTCATCCCGAGAAGGGCCCCCCCTGGGGAGGGGAGAAACGGGATGAGGAACGGAAGCCCAATCCGAAAGCGTCCTCATCCGTAGCAGCCGAGCAGCTAGCCCCGAGCGGTTGAAGGGCCCAGGGGGCCCCAGCAAAGGAGTGGCGTGTGTGAGAATTATGACGATCTTGGCGAGGGCAACGAACATAATTTCCTTTACCGTGCGCCAGCATTCATTCAGGCAGTCTCATCAACCGAAGGGCTCATCACCATTAGGCCTTGGGCGTATGACTTGGGGGGTCAGTCATCTCTGAACTGGTCTGCCCATCTTTCACGCTCAAAAACCTTGTGATTGACTCGGAGACCTGACCGAACTCGCTTTGACAGAGGTGCGTTGCCGCGTAGGACGACCCTGCCAAAAGGAGGGTGCCCTTCTGTTCTGTCTGTCGCACATCATGACATCTTGCATTTCTGTTGCAGATGTACGCTGTGTCCTGCCATTTCCGCAGATGTCTGGGGCATGATCGCCTACGTTGCGGGCGCGTCGCGACATTGGGCGGCCGCGTTTCGGGGCAAGTGTGCGGTCGTGTTTTCTCGGATGTGAGGCTGTTTTGGTCCCGAACTCCGAGCTTCGATTATGAGTACCGCACCTTTGGCGCCGAGGCAAAGGCTACTCTGTCACGTCCGAGTTGTTGTTCCATCCGCCCGTGCGAAAGGTCGCGAGAGTGCCCCAGTTGGCTTCCCGTGGAGCAGGCGGCCTTCGAAGCCGAGCAAACACACAAGCAGAAACCGTCGGAGGTCCGCGCGGATTTCTCGGGTCGGCGTTGTGCCCTCCTTTTCCTTGGCGCGCCAGGGGCGGCGCCAAAGGCGCCGCCAGGATGGTCCAGCGCCGATCCAAGAAACCCGCGCGGACCTCCGAAAGGTTAGTTTCATGCGGTGGTTTGTTCCTCCAGCCCTTCCTCCGCCATCCTTATTTCATTGGTGGCGCGGCCATTCCGGACACCCTTGGTGTCTTCTCCTTTGCGTCGCCCCCACACCTCCCGAGGTTGCAGGTCGGTTGCGGACGGCCGTAGCCGCGACCTCGCAAAGGGAACTGACCGGTGGTGTCCTCCCTAGTTTCCATTTGTGCCACGCCACCCTCGGACGCGTCCTGCCCACTCAAGCTCAGCTCGGCGGCCCCGCGGTGTAGGTGACGCAGGCAGCGGACTGCATACCTGCTGCCGCTATGTTGAGCTTGTTGTGAGGAGTGGGCGGCGAGGAAACGCCCAGGCTTGGAGCCATGACCCACGCTGTGCTGTGCTGGGCTCGGTGCGCCAGGCGGGGGGGGAGGCATGCTGGCCCACAGGAGGCGCACGCGGCGAGGCTAGCCAAGGGGGCACCGGCCGCGCACCCGCCGCTGCACGGCGCGGGAGGTCGGGAATTGGAGACAGCAGGGAACGGGCGGCCGGCAGGCAGAAGCGGCAGGCGCAAGTTGGGGGCAAATGAACGTCGAGGACGACCAGGTCACCCGCAGCGTGGGCGCGAAGATGATCGCGCTTCGCGCGTCGTGGCCCTGGCCATAGCGGCTACCCTTCTCCGGGTCGGGGGGGGCGCGCGAAGGCGCGGAGATGACCAAGCGTCGTGCATCTCGGAGCGCGATGCGTGAAGTCAGATGACCTAGGGACGAGAGCGAGGGCTACAGGGACGAGGTGGCAGAGAGACGAAAGAGAGTAGCCCGGAGGATGAGGAGGAGGAGCACGATTATGTTGACGGCGACACCGATTGGCAGCGGCTCCGCCCCAGGCGCTGGAGTCCCTGATGTCCGCCCTGGAGTACGAGCCCCAGCGCCTGCGCTCGGGAGAAAGCGCGCGTGGCCTCGTGTATCCTCCTCCTCCTCCTCCTTCTACTCCTCCTTCTCCTCTTCCTTCTCCTCTTGGTCCCACAGGGTAGCTGGAGCATACGGTCCAGGAACCAGGGCAAGCAGGAGGCGTTGGTGCGGGTACCCTTCAGCCCTCTGAGAAGCGCGGCTGCACCGCTTTGAGCGCAGGAGACCAAAACATCGGATGAGACGAGGTATGTGCTTACTCAGTTCCTTCCCGCGAGGCCGAGAGCTCCCATGCCTGCGCGAAGTCAATGATTATTCATTGTTTTCTCTGTTCTCGCCTATCCCTGTATCCCTTCATTTGTTGTTTTCCCTCTCTCTCCCTCTCTCTGTGTACAGATCTCTCTCCTTTCTCCTCTCTCTCTCTCTCTCTGTCTCTATGACGTTCTCCGTGCATGCGTTCATGTCTACCTGTGTATCTATCTATGTACATGTGTAGTGCATTCCCCAAGCAGCGCTTGCACTTATGGTGTCTTACGTCAGGTCTACAGAACCGTGACTGTGTGTCGGTCTGGCGGCTCCGTGCCGGCCGTCGCCGCCCCGTCGCCGCTTGGTGGTCGCCCGTCGCTTGGGTTAGTGTGTCGGTCTGGCGGCTCCGTGCCGACCGTCGCCGCACCGTCGCCGTTTGGGCGCCGCCCGTCGCCGTTGTTTCGCCGTCGCGTTTCGTTGTGTTGCGTTGCATTGTTTTGCGTTGCCCTTCGTTGCAATGCATTGCCTTTGCCTGGCTTTGCGTTGCTCTGCTGTGCGTTGCGCTGCATTGGATTGCATTGCACTGCATTGCTTTGCCTTTCTTCGCATTGCTACGGTGTGCTTAGCATTGCTCTGCGCTGCCATTGCGGAATAGGATTGCAAGCACACAGTTCTTTGAGGCATATTGGCCCAAATTCAGTTACGTGACGTAGCTCCTACCACAGACTGCATCACGTAGCTCATTCGGAACTATTCGGATTTCCGTGCAAAGATTTCTTATTTCCTTAGTAGTGGTTGCACTTATAGCTTCTCACTTCTGTTCTAGGGATCTGGGCCTGTCTGTCGGTCTGGCGGCCATGCTGTCGCCGTCGCCGCCCCGTCGCCGCCTCATCGCTGCCCGTGATTGGGCCTGCCTGTCGGTCTGTCGGTCTGGCGGCTATGTTATCGCCGTCGCCGCCCCGTCGCCGCCGTCGCCGCTCGTCGCCGCCATTAGATTGCACACCATAGATTGCGCAACATAGATTGTTCGTCATAGGTTGCACGACATAGATTGCATCACATAGATTGACCCACACACTTTACATAACATCGCTTGCGCATCGCATACATAACACCAAATCTATATATATATATATATTGACCATCATATATCCCACCACATGTGTGGCACAACATAGGTTGAACCACCTAGATCGGACCACCTGTATTGCACAACATTCATCGCGTGTCATCAGTTGCACAGCATAAGTTGCTCTCCATAGATTGCACCACCTAGACTGCTCCACATAGTTAGCACATCCTATATTGCACCACGTAGATGGCGCAACATAGATGGTATACCAGGAACTGGATCACGCAGCCACGCACATGGTGCAACACATACTGCACCACGTATTTGTCACACCAACGATTGTACCATGTGTATCGCACCACATACATTACACCATGTAGATTGCACAACATCGATGGCATATGGTGCTAGTACCACACTGATTGGGGCTCACGCTGGCCCACATACATAAACGCACATTTAAGTGTAGGTATCGATACACACATATATATGTATATGCATTGTTATTGATATTGCTATAGCAGAGAGATGGGGCCCCAGAGGTCTTACATCTTCCCTGGGCGCGTCCCCGCTCCGGAGTCGCCTCGGAATTTAGTAGGGGGAGTTAGCAAGGGGAGTTAGTAGGGGGCGTTAGTAAGTGGAGTTAGTGAAGGAGTCAGTAGGGGGAGTTAGTAGGAAGAGCTAGAAGGGGAAAGTAGTACGTGGAATTGCTAAGGGCCCGACCCGCCGGGCCCCTTGTGGGGAAACCGAAGGCGCGCGTGCAGTCCGCAGCGGTTTCGGAGCAGGGGTTGCGACGGGTGTCGTCGTTCCAGGGCACGGCGCCCAAAGCCAAAGCGAAACGCGCGCCGCAGAGCAACGCTCCTTTGCGCCTGTCCCGAGGCAGCCCGACCAACCTCCGCTGTTGCACGGGACGAGTGGGCCAGTCGCCGACTCCAGCCGGGCGTTTGGCATTTGTGTCCGCAGTGCAAGCGAGTCGAGAAAACCCCCCAGGCATATTCCTCTTCCTATATTTTTGTAAGCCCGGGCGGGGGGAAAACCCGCCCCCTCCCCCCCCAAAAAAAACGGACTCCCTGGATCTGGGGCTTTGGGACCCTCCGGACGGGCCTCGAAGCGGCCCCCAGGCCTCGCAGGGCGTTTTGCCAAGCCTTCCCAGCACAACTAGGGCGATCAGGGTGGTCATCGGAGACGTCCCAGAGACCCCCAAGACAGCACAAGAGCGCTCCAAGAGTGACCGACGTGACCTCAAGATGGCCCAAGAGGCCTCCAGGACGGCCCCAAAGAGGCCTCCAAGAGCACTCCCAAGAAGGCCCCCCGGGGCAAAAATCCTTGATTTTCTGTGGGTTGTTGGTGAATTTTGGGGTTCTCCTCTTTTCGGCTTCCCGACGCTCCAAGACGGCGGTCTTCTGGGCGTCCGAAGCCGCCTGGGAGGCTCCAAAATCGCCCCACAACCATCCGAAAGGGCTGCGAGGCAGTCCAAGAGAGCCCCAAAACGGCACAACACGAGCCCAAGATGGCCCTCAGAGAGCCCCATGGCGGCCCAAGATGGCCCAAAGACGCCCTCCGAAGCATTACAAATCGTGACCCGGTCGTTCAGGGAGACCGCCGTTGGAGGCAGGGTGGCCCGATGAAGCCCGCGGAGGCCCCCAGACTACGCCCAGGAGGCATCCAGAAGGCCTTAAGAAAGCCTGAAGCAACTTCTATGAGGCCCCCACAGGCTCTACAAGGAGGAACCTCTGCAAAAAAGAGCTGAGGAGGATGGGGAGAATGCGCAGGGCATGGCGAAAATAAGGAAAAAGAAGCATGGAGGAAGGATAACGAATGATAATATTATAGCGGCGATGCCGGAAAAGGCAACCAGGAGTTATCGCTAAATTGTTGGCTTGACCTTCCTGCTATTCCGACTGCAGCGGCGCTTCGCGCCATGCACCTTGGTCCTTGAAGTTTGGCATCCAGGCGGAATAGCAGGAAGGTCAAGCCGACAATTTAGCGATAATAACTCCTGGTTGCCTTTTCTGGCATCGCCGCTATAATCGGAGGTGAGGGGGTGAGATCGAAGTGGAACGGAAAGCCCCCCTTCCGGGAAATCGGTTTCGGTTTCGTGTTCGTGCGTGCCGTGCGTGCGGGGTCGCGGCCAGACCAAATGATTCCTCTCCGAGGGCCGGTGCCGCGCGGTGTCCCGCTGGTGTCCCGCCTCCGGCTGAGGTGCGGCCAGACCAAATGATTCCTCTCCGGGGGCCGGTGCCGCGCGGTGTCCCGCCGGTGTCCCGCCGGTGTCCCGTCGGTGTCCCGATGATGATGATGACGATGATGATGATGATGATGATGCCGATGATGTTGATGATGATGATGATGATAATGATGGCGGTGATGGTGGTGGTGATGATGATGGTGCCCCGGTGATGATGATGATGATGATGATGATGTTGACGATGTTGATGATGGTGATGGTGGTGATGATGATGGTGCCCCGATGATGATGATGTTGATGATGATGATGTTGCTTATGATGATGATGGTGTTCTGATGATGTTGATGCTGATTATCATGATGCTGTTGATGATAAGATGATGATGAGATGATGGTGATGATAAAGATGATGATGGTGTCCCGATGATGATGATGAGGTTGGTGATGCTGTTGATGATGACGGTGATGATGATGATGGTGTCCCGATGATGATGCTGATGATGATGACGATGTTGGTGTCCCGATGATGATGATGATGTTGATGATGAGGATCATGATGAGGTGATGATGCTGACTTTGATGATGGTGGCCCGATTATTGTGATAATGCTGTTGATGATGATGATGATGATGATGATGATGATGGTGTCCCGATGATGATGATGGTTATGATAATGGTGACGATGATGATGGTGTCCCGATGGTGATGATGATGATGGTGGTGGTGATGATGATGATGACGATGATGATGATGATGCCGATGATGTTGATGATGATGATGATAATGATGGCGGTGATGGTGGTGGTGATGATGATGGTGCTCCGATGATGATGATGATAATAAAGATGATGATGATGATGATGATGATGATGATGATGTTGACGATGTTGACGATGATGATGATGATGGTGATGGTGGTGATGGTGGTGATGATGATGGTGCCCCGATGATGATGATGATGATGATGATGATGATGATGTTGCTGATGATGATGGTGTTCTGATGATGTTGATGCTGATTATCATGATGATGTTGATGATATAATGATGATGAGATGATGGTGATGATGAAGATGATGATGGTGCCCCGATGATGATGATGAGGTTGGTGATGCTGTTGATGATGACGGTGGTGATGATGGTGATGATGGTGTCCCGATGATGATGATGAGGATGATGATGAGGTGATGATGCTGACTTTGATGATGGTGGCCCGATTATGGTGATGATGCAGTTGATGATGATGATGGTGTCCCGATGGTGATGATGATGATGATGATGGTGATGATAATGGTGACGATGATGATGGTGTCCCGATGATGATGATGATGTTGATGATGATGGCCCCCTGGCGCGCTGGCGCGTCCCCTGGCGCGTCCCTTGCGACGTTCTGACGTGACGTGCCCTGGGACGCCCCGTAGCACGCCACTCGGCGTTGCACGTTTCCTGGCTCGTCCTCTGTCGCGCTTCCTGGCTCGTCCCCATGCGTTTTCCTTGCCTGTTCCGTGGCGCGCCCCTTGCAACGTCCCTTGGCATGATGTCTTCCGGCCGCCCCATGGCACTAGCCTTGGCACGTCCCGTGGCAGGTCCTTGACACGTCTACGGCACGTCCCCTGATGCGTCCCCTGGCATGCCCCCTGGCGCATCCCCTATTGCGCCCCTGGCACATCCTGCGGCGCGTCCGTGAGCCCCTGCCCCGTGTCGTGTCGTTGTTTTCGGAGCTGAGTCGGATTCTGAGGTCAAGTTGATTGAACGTCCCGCAAATTTCTATACGTGTTTCCGGGTTCGTGTTTCTGTATTTCTTTTCCAATGTTTCCGATCGATCCATTTCAATGCAGATTTCGGCCGGTTCGATTCGATTTCTCGTTACTATGTAGTCGATGTTGATGCCGCCCGATACTCGCATGGCATTGTTGTGCATCCTGGATGCGGTTTGATTCGACGCACATACGGATTCGACCCGATGCCCCGAGTCGATGTTGACTTACCTCGGGCCCCCTTCTCACAAGCGCCGCGTCCTCGCATCCCCCCGCTGCCCAACGAGGTCTTCGCGATTCCCACTTTTTGGTCTGGTCGGGGCTTCTCTCCTCCCCACGAGCGCCGCGTCCTCTCCCCACTGTGTTGAAGAATCACGAGTACGCAAGGGCGAATCTTATTTCTCGACTCGGTTGCCCAAGCCGTCGCCGAGCAAGTCTGCAGCGGCAGGGCTCAGGCCGAGCTGACTTGAACGCGCTCGGCCACCGGGGGCTGCTCGGCAAGCGTGGACACGAGCATGACAGGCCGAGGCGGACTCTGGCCAGCGGCGGACTCACTCGCCTGCCCCCTCCCCTGGGCGCCCCGCCCCCCTGCTCGGCGCGAGCGCGCGCGCCTCCGGCGGGGGCGTCGCCCCGCGGGCGGAGGAACCCGCTGTTCACGCAGGTGGGCGCGGGCCTGCCGCGGGGGTCGTCGTCGTCGCCGTCGTCTTCGTCGTCGCCAGTCGGTCTCGTCGTCGTCGTCGTCGTCAGTCGGTCTCGTCGTCGTCGTCGTCGTCAGTCGGTCTCGTCGGTCTCGTCACCGTCGCCGAAGGCGGAGGAGGATTGCGGGGGTCTGGAAGGACAAGGATGAGGGAGGGAAGTTGGGAGGTGGAAGTGGAATCACGGGCGTGCCTCCCTCTCGGGGAGGGGGGATGGGGGGGACGCTCCTTGCAGGCATGGAGGCACGGGGGAGGAGGAGGAGGAGGAGGAGGAGGAGGAGGAGGAGGAGGACAAAGGAGGAGGCGAGCTGAGTCACCCGCCGCGCCCGAGAGGCATTCACCCAGCTCTTCGAGCAGATTCGCGAGGAGCGCGAGGAGGGCGCGCCCGCTGCTGCCGCCCGCGACGCGCGCGCGCAAAGGCATCCAGGGCCGAGCGCACGCTACACGCCGGTTGTTGAAAGTAGGTATTCCATGTTCCATAACAAAGGGGGGTGGGTCACATGTGGGGGGGGGTCTGATTCGAGCTGTCTTGGAGTTTTCGGAGGGGGTCTGGGCAAAGGGCCGCCCTTTCATGGATGGTCTGGGGGGATCTAAAACTTCTCGTCTGGGAGGGTTGTGACCCCCTCCCTTCTACCACGAAATCTGGAGTACTTCTGCATTCCCAGATCCCAATCTGCTTCAAGCGCCGTCCTACTTCAAGAGCCGATATACGTTGCTGTGCTTTGTTGTTTTCTGGGAGGGCCTGAGCCCAATCTGCTTCATCCGCCTTCCTACTTCACGTGTTCACCTACTTCTTCCGACCGACGTGTAGTGGTCTAGGGGGTGGGACACAACGACCCTACGTGGCCAAGAATCATTAAATCACCGTTGCTGTGTCAACGATTTCGTCGTTCTGGGCCGTCCTGCATCAGGCAGGCAGCCCCGTCAAGCGTGACTGAGGGAGGCCATGTCGCTGGCCCCTTGTTAGAATTAGTCGATGCCTGGCGAGTTTACATAAATATTGACTCCGATGGGCCTCCCCAAGGAGGTTTTCCTAGAAAGTGCGGGGGCCCAGGGTTTTCTTTCAGAGATTGACCCTCGACCTTGACTTGACATGAAGGAGGCCGGCGAATTTATTTTGGGATAAACAACAGGGTCGAAGACGGCCAGCGAATTCAAAAATTGAGGATGTCTCTAGCGAAACGCTGGTTTGGGGAATCCCGATCGATAAAAACACATGGTAAAGTAAACATGCTCGTTTGTTGCGGAAGTCTTGGGCGAAACGCTTGTGTTGCAGACTGTGTTGAGGATGTCTCGAGCGAAACGCTTGTTTTGTATGAAAGATGGTTCCTCTCCTGGGGACCAGCATTCAGAGGATGTCTCAGGTGAAATGCTTGTTTTATGTGCCCAGGTCTTGAGGACGTCTCGAGCGACACGCTTGGTTTCACGCGCCCAGGTTGCTTGGGCAGATGTCTAGAATGAGGATTTGTTGAGGGTGTTTCGAGCGAGACGCTTGGTTTCACACGTCCAGGTCGCCCAGGCGGATGTCTAGCATGAGGATTTGTTGAGGATGTCTCGAGCGCGCCTCTTGTTTCCACGTGTCCAGGTCGCCCAGGCGGATGTCTAGCATGATGAGGTGTCGAGAACGTCTCGAGCGAAACGCTTGTTTTCACGTGTCCCGGTCGCCCCTGCGGATGTCTAGCATGAGGAGGTGATGAGAGCTTCTCGAGCGAGACGCTTGTTGTCACGTGTACAGGTCGCCCAGGCGGATGTCTAGCATGAAGGTGTGTTGAGGATGTGTTGAGCGAAACGCTGATTGTCACGTGTACAGGTTGCCCAGGTGGATTTCGAACATGAGGATTTGGGCAGGATGTCTTGAGCGAAGCGCTTGTTGTCACGCGTCCAGGTTGCCAAGCAGATGTCTAGCATGAGGAGATGATGAGAACGTCTCGAGCAAGACGCTTGCTTTCACATGTCCAGGTCGCCCAGGCGGATGTCTACCATGAAGTTGTGTTGAGGATGAGTCGAGCGAGACGCTTGTTTCCACGTGTCCAGGTCGCCGAGGCGGATGCTTGACATGAGGATTGCTTGAGGATGTCTCGAGCGAAGCGCTTGTCGCAGAGTACATCGCAGTCCAACCCCGCCAGTCCGTGGGGCGTCCCCTGGCGCGTCCCCTGTCGCGTCCCCTGCGACGTTCTGGCGCACACCCTGCGCACCCCTGGCGCTCTTGCTTTGCAAACAGGAATGGGCAAGGGGGGGGGAATGGGCTTGGGGAAAAGGGCGAGGCGCTGGGGGAGAGGCCGCAGGGGGCACCCGAACATCCAAAACCAGGAACAAAAACAAACCAACATGCGCAGCGCTTCGTGGCACCGAGGACACCAAGCACAGTGGATTATTGTTGTTTGGTTCTGCATCAGGGAAGTGGAGAACGGCAAGGAAGAGGAGGTGGAGGAAACGAGAAGAAGGGACGGAGGACTTTCCTACCCCAGATCCAACTGATTCCAATTAGATCCTTGTGGCAATCTAGGCCGAATCGAATTCGGATGGGCCAGACCCCAGATCCAGCTGATTCAACTTAGATCCCGATTATAGTCTAACTAGGAACAAGTTGTAACTGGGCAGACATCCGTTTCCAGATCCACGATGCGGGCCGCAGGGTGCACCTTGCAGCTGAAGATGGTCTACCCTTTCGCGGGGCACAAACGACGGGCGGACGTCGTTGCCTTCGCGCGCCGCCCTGGCATGCCCGCGCACTTGGAAGAGGCGGGCCCGGCCGGGTCAGACGACGCCGACCTGTCCAACGAAGCGCTTCAGGACGATACTTTCAGGAGGCCGGCAGCAGACGAGCGGGACGTGCTCGCGGTCTCGCCGCCGCCCAGCCGGGGCCCGCGCCCTGCGCGATCAGAGCAGCGCCGTTGGGAGCTCTCTGGTTGGCGGGCCGAGAGGAGCTGAAGTGCCAGGTACCCAACCAACTCGCAGACTTCACCCTCCGCGCCCTGAGGGCCCAGCTGACAAGCAGCGGGCAAGCGGCGGGCCTCCTGGGGGGGCCCGCGGATTCGGCGCCACCCCGAGGGGCGACCTCCGCGGCGGGCGCCCCGCCGGCACGCGGCAGCTGCCAATCGTTGACGAGAACCTCGACCTCGACGGCGCCGACGCAGCAGCCCTCCGCCAGAGCAGCTCACGCGCGTCGTGCCCGAAGCCGACGCTCCTCATCGGTCGGTATCCGGGACTGACAGCCGACCCGCGGCTCCGCGACTGGCGCGCACCTGGGGCCGATGTTGCCTCCGCCCGCGAGGTTCGAATCACTGGGGCGCAAGCGGGGCGACACCGCGTTCAAGACCGCGGGCGCTGCGGCCTAGCCCCCGCAGCAGGTCGACGGGCGGCAGAAGTCATCGGCAAGATGGCCGAGCGAGAGGGAATTCTGCCTGGAGCTGCTCACCAGACGCGCTCGAGAAACAGGGCGAGGACGAGGGCGAAAGGGCAGGGGCCGAACAGGCCCCCCCCCCTCATAGAAAGAAGCCCGCTCGACAAGGGCGACATCAACATCGGGGAAGGGGAGCGGCGAGATCCCGGCCAGCGAACGGGGCAAACCCTTCCCCGCCGAGCGCGACGGCGCGGAGGCCGCCGCAAGGTGTTTCGCGAATGGGCCCCCGGCGGGGCCGGATCTGCTCGGGGCGCTTTCGGAGCTCGACAGCGCCGCCCTCGGGCGCGACCTGCGCCCCGACTGCCGCGCGGGCGCCATCGGCGCAGCGCGCGGCGGCTTGACAGACGCGCGGGAGCGCGAGGCCCGCGCTGCTGCATGTGCATCTTGGGCCCGAGTGGCCTTCAGGACGGCGCGGGCCTTCCATCGCTTGGCCGCTGGGGCCCAGATTCGCAGGGGACCCCGAACTGGACCGAGCCGAGGACACGTTCGAACTAACAAATCGCGGCAGCCATGGGCGGACGGGGCGCCGCAGAACGCGCCCCGTTCGAGTTGGCGGCGCAGGGGCGGCCGGCCGGCGACGACCCGAGCGAGCCGTTCGACTTCGCGGGGGGTTGGTTCACGAGGTGGCTGGGGGGATTCTCGAAGGCCTGCTGGGAGCAGAGGGGCGGCCCGCCCGCCCCCGCCTCCCGGCGGCGCTTCTACGCGAGGAACGGGGGCCCAACGCAAAATGGGCGAGGGATTTACAGGCGGGTGTCGCAGCGGGCATCCTGAACGAGAAGGCCCGACGCGGATAGCGCCCGCGAAGTGGCGCTTCGACTGGGGGGCGCGCCCAACTGGGCCGCCCCAGGAACAGCCGACAACGGCAGTTTGGAAGAACGCAGCCACCGGCTCCGAGAACACCTCGCTGACGAGGTGAAAGCGGGCGGGGTGACATGGGCGTCCGAGGAGCAGATGCACAACCGCCCCCACGACAACTGCGCCATAGCTGCGCTCGCGGCCCCAGGGGGGCGCGAGCGGCAAGAAGGGGCTCGCGCATCGCGCCGCGCCCGAGGTCGCCGCGGACCGCCGGGTCCGACGCGAGAGTCGACCATGGATGCAGAGACCCGCGCACGGACGTGCACGCGCGCGCGGAAGCCGCGCCCTGCGGCGCATTGGCAAGATCTGGCTGAAACACGCTCGAACCTGCATGCGCCGTGCAGCGCAGTGCCTCGGGGGGCCATCGCTGCGCCCGCTGCTCCAACGCAATGCGAGGGATAGCTGCGCGGCGCGCCAGGGGGCGAGGGGGGGGGGAAGGCGAATCGCACGCTGCCACCATATTCTTCAACTGCCGACTTCCATTTCGCAGCGTCTTGAAGTATATGTTCGAGCGCTTCAGAACTGCCGGCGGCCACTTCCAGCGCGCGTGATTTGCAAGCGCGATGCCCCTGCAAGCGAGGGCGCCCTCGCGCCCTGCGTGACAGGGGCCACTTTGGAAAACCATTGCTTTTCGGAGGCTCTCATTGCTCTCCTGGGCCCATGCCCCATGAAACCGAAGTTGCACTCACGGAGGTCATCGGATATCCGCCGAGTCTGGGCAGTTCGCCCGACCACCTCGCTGCTGACCCTGGACGCGCGCGCCGGCCATCATTTGTGCACCCTTCGCAGGCATTGCGTTTGGAAGCTTTCGAGCCTGTCCGCGTCCGCCTGCAGGGGCACGCGGGATTTCTGACCACTCAGTAGTTTAGAAAATACACACGATACCAATATCCGTCGTTTATGCTTCTTGCTGAGATTCGCGCGATTCCACAGTGCGCACAATTCTCGGACAACTCCTTCTACTTCTCCCTGCCGTCGCGCAAGCTCTGCGCGAGGTTTGCCGCCCGCGCTCAACAGGCACCCCCCCCCCCCCGAGTGCACCGCGCGGTCATTGCATTGCATTGCTTCGCACCAGGTCCAAGAATCGATCCCCCCGACCGCACCGCGAGAAGCATTGTCGTGCCATCCATCAGCTCCAACCCGCACAGCTTCCCGAGACAAGATTTTGATAGCTATCGCGACGACTAGCACGAGGTCAATTCCCGCTCGTCACCGACGTCGCGGGCGCGCGCCCGCCCGTCAAGATCCGCGCGGGCGGGCGAGGCGCGCCGGCCTGCCAGTTCGAAGGCGAGATCCACTGCGCCACCGTGGACACCCCCGGCGCTGCCAGCGCCTCATGATGGCGGGTCTGGCTGTTCCGGGCCAGGCTGCGAGCGGTCTCCTGCCTGTCGGGTGGCGATTGGCCCGTGGAACAGATCACTTGCGCCGAAGACCCAGAGGCGATCGGGGCGTGGCGACGCGGGGGTTTGGCAACAGCCGCCACGGTCGTTCCACTCGGCGTCTTCGGCTTCCCGACGCAGAGGGTCAAGCTGCAGGGCGGCCTGGAGGTGGACTGGATCGGCCCCCATTATGACTGCTCCGCGAGGGCGGCTTGGGCAGCTGCCTGGCGTCGGGGGGCGGTCGGGCGCGGGGCGCTCCACGTGGGCGAGATAGCGTCGGGCTAGGTCCTTGCCTGGGAGAGGATCGCGCTGGCGCGGATCAGCAAGCGACGGGCATGCGCGCGCGGACTAGAAGCGCCCATCGCGCACAAAGCCGAGAGCGGCGAGCACTCCCGCCCCGCCGCGCAAGCGGGGGGGGGCCGCCGCAGAGTAGGCGGCTGGTGGGCGCCGCCAAACTGCGGCGCGCGAGGAGCTCGTTGTCGCGCGCTGGACGTAGAGAAGGAACAGCTCCCTTGGGCACCGGCCAAGGCAGATAGCCACTGCGGCGCCGGGGCTTCTCGGCACGATCCCTCGCGCGAATGGGCCCTCGAAGCCCTGGGGGATCTGCGAGACGGCGAACCTCGAGATGGCGGGGTCGACGGACAACCTTGGCAAACCCTACGCAGCGAAGGCCCCGTGCGACCATTCGGGGCGGGGGCCCACCAACGAGAATTTACGTCGAGCTTGCAGGACAGTCTTGAGGCCCCGCCCTTTTGAACCCCCACCTTGAGGCGGGCGCCGCCGCGGGCGGAGCCCCCCGCTTCGCCCCTGGACCCCTATTTCTTCCCGCCGCGGCGGCGGGGGGGCCCAGGGCGAGAGGAGCGCCCCCGATCGCGGAGGGCCCTATGGAGGGCGCACAGGGTTTCGAGACCGCGCCCCTGCCCCCTCGCGCACGGGCTCGGCGCGGCAGGGTGGGCTGGCGGCGCCTCAGAGACGGGGCGAAATGAGCGAGGCGTGGGCGCGGGCCATGACGCCAGCAGCGTCAGGCGGGGGGGGCCTGGACCCCCCCCCGCACCTGCGGGTCTCCGCTCCTCCTTTGTGGTGACCCGTTCCCGCCGTAGAAAGGGGGCATCAAGTTGCTGGGAGTTGCTAGGCCCCGGCGCACGGGGCCCCCGCTTCCGCCACCCGTGAAAGAGGCATCACAGTCAACCCTGGCCATTATTTAACCGCCATCGCACCTTTAGTCTGCCTATTCGGGGATGCGCCCCCGTGTGCCAACACGAAAATGCATTCTATCTTTCTGCCTGAGGTCTGTGGCCATTTCGGTTCGGGCGTTCGGCCGATTGTGAACAACCCACCCACCGCCCTGAGCCCCGGGTTCCGCCACCCGCAGAAGCATCACATTCGCCCCCGCCCCCTTTTTGCCGCCATCGCACGCTTATTCAGGCTATGCGAGGATGCGGCGCCATCCTTGTATATTGTTTTTCTGGGGGGGCGCCTGAAATTAATTCGGGGGGATCGTGATCTGATGATGTTCAGACGGGCGACGTGCGCAATCCCAGGGTAGACACGCTCGTGTGCATAATATCCGTGGATAATCGCCGACGCAAGCGCAGTTCCCAGCACAGCGCTTGCGATTCCTGGCCCGAAGTCACCAGGTCCCGGCGTTACCGAGGGCATTCAGGGCGTCGGACGCACCTCGTACCAGTTGGCCCCAGGGCGGCCTTTGTGCAACGATTCTCTGTGGGAGAGCCCTGCCGTGGGCCAGCTGGTCGGGGCCACGGGGTCCAGAACCCTCACTCCAGGCTGGGCGTATGCGAGCTGTGTATGTTCACCACCTCCAAGAAATATGGAATAATCGTTTGTTTTGAGCCTAGCGGACACTTGGTGAACACATGGGAGAACATAGGTTGAACATGCATGGGTGCCCTTTGGGCCCCCGAGTTCGGCCACCCTCCCTGCTGCCATGATCGCTGCCTCCTTGGATTGGGCGCGCTTTCTTGGGCGGGCGTCGACGATCTTGACCTAGCCGCCAACCGACTTCGTTGCCGACCGACAGTGGGGGTGAACATTGGGGAGATGACGTGGCCAGGGCCGTGGCATGTTCCAGGTCTCATGGCCTGGTGCCGCCTCTTTCCTCGTACTATTATGGATTACTTCTGCTAGGTATTCTCTTGTCAATATTTGTTAAGCACAGCATTGGAATGATATTGTCCTTCGCAGTAACCATATGGTAAGTATTACGACTAGTATGGTTAGGCTCTTGGTATATATTCGTATCATTGTTATGCTTATTGTTATTCTCATTAATATAATAACTAGTACTGTTACTATGACCATGAGTAGTGTTGCTATTATTTGGATGAGTAATTCTTTATTGTAGTCATGTTTGATTACTAGTGCTTGCAGCGGTATTAGTGGTATTTTGGTTCGTAGTGTTATTAGGATTGTGCTCATTTGTATTCGTTTTTATTGTCCTCGATGCTCTGTGCATTTTACTCGTCTTCTTCTTTCTCTTTCAGTGCGTTCCCTGGCCTCCCCTCGTCCCCGCACATGCCGCGGGCCCTGGTACGCCAGCCTCCCTCTTCCCCGTCCCCCCCCCCCCTCCCTCCTCCGGCGCACCCCACCGCGCCCAGGAGAGCGCGAGCCCGCCCCCCGCGGGCTCGGCGCCCGCGGGCTCGCCCGGCGCCGCTTCGGCTTCGGACGGGCCGCGGCCAGAGGCCGCGCGGGCGCGGCCGGCCGCCGGCGGAGGGGGGCGAGCAGCCCAGGGGCGCATATCACACGCATTTGCCCAGGAGCCTCGCCGAAAGCACGGATCATCGGCGTTTTTGGATACACGAATTGCCCCCCCCCGAGCTGTTCGCCCACGTCGTCGCCCCTGGGCGTTGCGCAATGGACGTCGATCAGCGTTGGCGTGACAAAAAGGTGTGCGTTTCTTCGCCCCCCGATCATCGCCCCCCCCCATTCAGCAACGCCCAAGCAGCGACAGGGGGCGGGCTGACCTCCTCGACCAGGGCATGGGTTCTGGGTTGTTCGCGTTTTCGAGGGTTTCCAAAGGTTTTCCCACCTAGGGGATGCCCTTTAGCAACCGCGCCTCGCCAACAGGCGTCCAGGGGTGCCAGGATCGTCCCGAACGGCCATCAGAGACTTAAGTTATGACCCAGAGACCAGACGACGAGGCTCGTTCGCCCACGGGGGGACGCATCGACCCCCATGATCGCCGATATGCGGCCCGGTAGCCCACCCTTGCCCGGGAGCGTGCGGTGTCGAAATCGAGGGATTGACGCCGATCTATTGGCGATGCATCGCTGATTCCAGCTCGATGTTTCTCCCCCTGAGCTGGTTCCCCCCTGATTATCGTCCCCCCTCCCAGGGGCACCTCGAGCGGTAACGGCCAGCACGACAGTGAAAAGGGAACAGAGCGGTCGGGTCGGTACGATCGAAGCGGGCATTCTGCGGTAAGAGTGGTGAGGAGGACCGGGAGCTGATTTTGCAAGTTGTGAGCAAGGATCGTTGTCGGTGCCGCCTCGGGCGTTGTCCACTTGATACAGAGGCCGCTTTCGGTTTTGGACGACGTTTGGCGTTGGGCATCTGACCCATCTTTTCCGTAGCGATTTTGCGCGTGCCAATCGGGCGGTTGCAGAATTCGGGTCGGACGAAACGGGAGATGAAACCCATACATTTGACGTCTTGAAGAAATGAGGACAAAGGGTTTGTGTGTGTGTTGCTCTCGTGTTTGCGGCGCAAGGAACTGCAGCGGGAAAAAGGGCAAGAGGAAAGGTCAAGACACGGTCGGGAAAGGCCAGAGGCGCGCAGACCCCACCTGGCCCAACAACGACCAATCCAGGCAGCGCCTTCCTGACACCACAGGCTTGCCGGCTTGCCATTCCTCTGAGACCCAACGCCCGGTCCGCAATAGTGCGAATCCTTATGATACGCGGCAGCGCCATGACCCAGCCGTGCCTTCTGCCGGACCGCAGACACGTGTCTCCCGTTGCGCCGCTCTTGACCAGCCCCAGTGCGCGTGGCTAGGCGCCTGGTGTCCCAGCACCAGCTCGCCACCGGCTCCATCGACCTCTGCGCCACCTGGCGGACCTAGCTGCCACGCGCCAACTACCCCGGCGGCGTGTGGCACCGTTCCACGCTCTGGCCTTGCCTCTGTTTCCTTTCCGCCCGTCCACTGGCCGCATGCTGCCCGCCCTGGCAGCGCGCCCTGGCAGCGCGCAGCCTCCTTTCGATTGCGCCTGCACCGATTAGGTGCCCCCTTGGCTTGGTCCATCCTGTCCTCCCCGGCAGCGTGGGCCCCCTGGCCTCGGCCCAGTTTTGACAGGCCTAGCGATGTGGCCGCACTGGGTGCACCCCGGCAGCCAGCGGCATCCCAGCCTCAACTGACTCTTCGCTTCCTGTGCACCGATTAGGTACCCCCGCCTTTGGCCTGCGCTGCCCATCCCGGCAGCGCATCCCTACGGCCTTTGCCGCAGTTTTTTTACTCGGACGTCCTGTCTCTCCCTTTGGCTGGCGCCCCTATGTGTGGCGCAGCAACCTGGGCCTGCCTTCTGGGCAGCACAGGCGTCCGCAGCAGACAGTGCGCGGGCAGGCTGGCTTCTGGCCGCCGGCGCTGGCGCCAGCGCGGCCGCCCAGCCTGCGGGGATCACCCCACAGGCGGGACTCTCCTCCCCCGCCCTCTCCCCCCCGTCCCAACGCGTTCCTTCTCCATCCATCCCTGAGCGCGCCGCCAAAACGCTCGCGTGGCTGCCGTAGCGCGACACTTCTTCACATGGTCGGGCACCCGGGTTTGGTTTTGCCGCCTGTCCACCTCCACGGGCCGAGCATTTTGTTGGCTGCGGTCCAAACCTGGACCGCACATGTACTTGGCGTATCTTGTCACGCGCCTCCTACCTGGGCGGCCGGCGGCTCGCGCTCTGTCGACCTAGCACCTCGTGTACTACTTCGGCAACGTAATTGCAGCGTGACTTTGCTTTACCCGCACTGGGCTTCGTCTGCGGGTGCCCCGGCGCCGCGGCCTGGCAGTTGCCACGGTCCCCGCTGACGGGGGTGGCCGCGCCAGCACAGTCAGGTGAGAACTCTTCTTCCTCGGAGCGGCCTTTTCCTCCCCGCCCCCCCGGCGGCCGCCCGCCCCGTCCCTTCCTTACTCCAGCATGGTGGCGCAATTCGTTTTTCGGTGCCCCCGTGTAGTTTGTGCGGCGATTCGGCCAATTTTGCCTCGCCGCCGACGGAAAAAATGCGCGCGGTTATCGGCTTTCGGGGGTCGAACAATAGCTCATGATGGAAGGCTGGCCCCGGGAAAGGATCGTGATATCGGGGGTACCGTGATGGAACAAAACAAGACATCTGATTTTTTGGAAGCCGCAGAGGGGGCTCATATTTGTTGCGCGCATTTAGTTTCGGCACCGCTGGTGGGCGCCTTTTATCGATGCAGCCAGTGCCGCCTTCGACGCCGAGTGACGCCCGTAAAAACCAGCCACGCCATCCGATCCATTACCCACCCACTGACTGACCCCTTTTTCTCCACCGATCCGAAGGGCGTCGGGGCCCGGTGTAAGGAACGCTTAGAACGCGTTGCGGCGATGTGTCTTCGGAGGAGTGTAGCCACGGGTGATCTGCACAGTTACACAATAGTGCCGTTCGTTCGCTTGCCCAAGGAGGTTAGCCTATGCGTGCCAAGCCCCCAGCAAAGTATGAGGTTGCACAGTGCTTACATCGGTTCGAAGACGCAGTGTCTGCGACCCCTGAAGTGGAGGACGGACGCGATGCACGTCCAAAACCCAAGTGTTTAGAACCGGGTATAGGGGTGATGGGGGGGAGGTTTGCAATAATAGTAGAATTGTCCATACCTGGTATAAAACTGTGCCCTCAGGATTCCATGTTTCAGTTCATGGAATGTGGCCCGAATTCACTTGGCTTCGGCGTTCGGTAAGACACAGTGCGTCGGACGCGTTTCGTCCCAGTTGGCATTGGGCTGGCCTTTGCACAAACATCATGTGTGGAAAATTCCCCACCACTCCACTACCGGTCGGGGCTGGAGGTGACCAGAACCACTTCATGCTGGCGGATGGGTCTGGACGCATGGTGAACATAGGTGGACACAGTGTGAATATAGGGGCGACCATAGAAAGTGGGCGTGAGCACACACAGGTGCCCTCTGGGAAACGAGTTTGGGCACGTTCCTTTGAGGACCTCGCCGTTGCCGAACATTTCCCTAGCCCTCCACCCCTTCCACTTCACACCTGTCCTGTTACACCCTGTACTGGCACTCCTTGTTAAGAGTGTTTCCATCATTCCCCCACATTGCGGTCGAGATCCCCGCTGCCCCACGCAGTCTAGCGCACCCGGCCCCACCCTTTCATCGAATGCGCGCGCGTGACAGTAATTGTCTTTTTTGTTTCGACGTGTCCTTCCGGATCTTCCTTCAATTTCCTCATCCCCATCAGGTTGTCTTTTGCCGTCCTTTTCATCCTCCACGGTTTCGCCATTTTCCCCCGCGTATTCCTTCACCTCTTCTTCCTTCTCCCCAGTGTTTGCCGCCCCCGTGTTTCCCCGCGAATGTGCATTCTTTTCCCTGCCCGACGCTTGTGGCCATTTGGGCTCAGGCGTTCGGCAGTTTCGGGATAATGTATAGGCGTTGCAGCTGGCCCTTGGGTTTCTTCCTTTGAGGCCTTGCTGCGGTGGAGCGAAAAACAATCCTGTCTGGCGCCCGCCATGCCGTCGCTCTCGAGGGAGGCAGAATGGGGTCGAAGTGGAGGGCCGCAGAGTGGCAACGTTCCGCATGACGTTCCAGGAGGGAGCCAGGCCGCCAGGCGGAGGACCGCGGAGGGAGGTCGAGAGCGCGGCAGCGTCCCGCACGACCTTCTTGCACGGGAACAAGGTCGCCAGGCCGGCAAATTGCCAGGGGACACGCGCCCTTCGAGATCAGCGCCAGGATGAAGTTGACGCCTGTGGTCAAGGACGCCGACGGCACGCGCAACTTCGTGAGTGGCCACGTTTTTTTCGACCAGCCCTGCCACGTGCCAGTTCAAACGAATAGCACGATGCGAGAAAATGATACTCTATGGCTCCAGAGAATCAGCTCGGTCGTCGCACCCGAGAACGCTGCCAAGGCCATGGGCGGCGAGTGCCCGAGGACATCCATTGAGTCCTGGGCCCATTGGATACTGTGCCGCTACATGTGATTCTGGTGACACAGACGCAAGCAACACAGCGATACGAATGTCTGGATATAGCCAAGGACCGATATCCCGAAGGCCGGATGTCCATCTGAGGAACAAGCACAAGAAACAGCTTCGCCGTCGCAGCAGACCCGATCACCGAATCCATTGAGCACGCCATAGATACAGGTGAAGCTCGCGAAGCACAGGGATGGTCTGGCGGTGCCGAGTCCTCAAGGACGAGCGTCTGGGAGCTGTGGCGCACTTAACGATCGCCCTCGGTGGAGATACCCACATCCATCATGTCCACGGTACGGCGCTGTGTGTACGGCGCGGTATCAGGAGCACGCGGCACGGGCATGGTTAGTTGCGCCCGGTAGTGACTGGCGATGCCAGCAGGGCCAGTACGGTGGGAAAGCCGTGCTGCATTTGCGCACGCACGGTGCTGGGGCTGCGCGGCGCCGGCGCGGTTATGTGACCAAGGCCGGCACCAGAAAATTTGCACGAGGGAAGGGCGGAGCGCGCGCGCCAGGGAGGGGTTGCGCACCAGGCGGGGGCGCGCACCACACAGGGACAGGGGTTCGCGCCAGAGGGGGGGGCGGGGGCGCGCCGGGGATGGGAACGCGCACCGGGAGGTGCGCGAGAGGTGCGCTCGCTGGGCGCGCGCGCGCCCAGCGCGGGTGCGCACCGGGAAGGGGAGGGGGCGCGCGCTGGAGAGCGGGGAGTGCGCCGCGCAGAGAGGAGGGGGGTGGGAAACACCACTGGGCGGCAGCAGCCGAGGCGCGCGCAGACAGCTGCGGGGGAAGACCCCCCTCCACTTTGGGCGCGGGCAAGGCGGACTAGCCGAACGGGAGTTTGGCGGCGCGGGGGCTCCTCGAGACGCTCCCCGGCAAAACTCCGTTCTCGAGATTCGGGGAGTTCCGCCTGAGGGCGAACCACGAGATGACGGGGCCGACGAATGACCTGGGGGCGCCAAGGTCGCGCCCATTTCCACGCCGAGCGAGCGGACGTAGGCGGTCCTCTTCGCCGAGCTCGAGGAGGACGGGCCCGCTCAAGGCGGCGCCGAGCCTGGAATGGCTATCGCGCGAGGGGGGCCAGGAGGCGGGCGACCCCGGCAGCGTGAAGAAAATTGATTTCGACGAGCATCTCGGGCTCCGCACTGCGGCCGCGGCCTTGAGGCAAACGTGCCCTACGTGGCGACGCCGGCCACCAGAGGACACGGCGAGCCAACCGCCGAGGAGAGGGCGACCGCGCCGCGGGCACAGCCCCGCTCAGCGCGCCGCGGACGACGTCGCGCAGACGGAGCGGGGGCAGTTGCAGCAGCGCCCCGATGGGAGAGGGCGCCGGCAAGGAGGCGGCAACCCGCGAGCGGTCCAGGAGGCGGCACCCACCGCGCACCGAGGCGCGGTTGCGCAGGTGGTTCAAACCTTCCCGTGCCTGAGGGCGACCCCCCTCTCGACCCTGCGCCCCCCCTGGAACCCAGCGGCTTCCTCGGTGGGCGAGGGCCCTCTTGGTGGGAGTGGGGAGGGCCGGGGAGAGGCCCTGGAGCCACCTCCCCGCGTGTCTTCGGGATGGTCTCAAAGCCCCTCCGGCGGGTCCCGCCACGGCGGGGGGGCCCCTTCCGCCTCTACGAGGACCCCCGCACCATCCGCCGCGGGCGGGGGTCCGGGAAGGATGGGTCCCCCGACCGTGGAGGACAGGGCTTCGAAACCGTTCCTCTCGGCCTCTTCTCTGTGCGTGTGCGAGCGGCGCGCGTTGATGGCGGTGGTATACACAAATGGAAGTACGGACGAGGCGAGAAGGGTGCCAGGCCCTCCGACGCTAGCTGCGTCCGGGACGGGGGGGGGGCAGCATCAACCTTTAACTTCCTGGCTCTTATATTCCTCCCCATTCGCTTCATTGACGAATGAATCCCATCGCACAAAGACGGGGCATCCTGTTTTTGGGGAGTGGCAGGCGCCAAGCACGTTGGGCCCCCAGCGCCGCCACCCATAAATATGGAATCGCCGTGGCCTCGCTCCTTACCTTTTTCACCGCTATCGCACCGCTATGAAGGTTCATCGAGGATACGCCCCTTCGTGCCAAAGCGAACGTGTATCTTGTGTTTCTGCCTTTTTGTGGCCATTTGTGTTCAGGCTGTCGGTTGTTTCTGAATAGCCCACCCAGAACCACTTTTGGGCATCGAGTTCATGGGAGTGCCTGGTGTCATGCGTACGGGGCCCTTGGCACCGCCAACCATAGAGGGGGATCGCCGTCACCCATTTGCCCTTCGCTTACCACAATCGCACGGCTATTAGGTCTCACGGAGGACACCCTATCCGTCTCCCCATAGTTCTTCGTCGTATTCCGTATTTCCACGATCTTTAATCGCTTCGCTCATTCCGCCGGCCCGGGAGCCCTCTTTAGGGCCTCTTGGGGGCCTCTTGGGGACCTCTTGGGAGTCTCTTGGGGCTCCTTGGCGGCGTCTTGGGGGCCCCCAGGGCCTCTTGGGGGGCTCTCGGGGGCCTCTTGGGGCAGGAGGGGGGTGGTCGATTTCGCCCCCCCCTCGGAGGCCACGATCTTCGTGAGGGGTGTCGAAACATTGCCCGGTCCGGCATCTCTGACCCGACCATCCCGGGACTTGCCCGGGTTTTTTTTCGCCTGGGGACCCCCAGGGACCGCCCCTCGCGCGCGAATTAGAAATATTGTTAACCAGTTACCGGAGATCTCAGCACGCCTTTGGCCCGTTGGGCGGGCGAATTCTTTCTCCCTTCTTCGTGTTCGTGTTCATTTGATGTTGTGTTGTCGTTGCTTTGTTTGTGCGGCTTGGTTATGACTACCTTCAAGGGCATCAGGTATACACGACAATCCCCCTCCTCTTCCTCCTCCTCCACCTCTTCCTCCTCCTCCTCCTCCTCCTCCAACCCCTCTGCGCGCCGCATACTGCGCAAATAACCCCCCCTCCTTCCCTCCTCCTCCTCCTCCTCCTCCTCCTCCTCTTCTTCCTCCTCCTCCTCCTCCTCCTCCTCCTCCTCCCTCCTCCTCCCGCCCCCCAGCGCGCCGCAGACTGCGCGAATCACTCCCCCTCCTCTCCCTCCCCTCCTTTTCTCCCCCTCCTCTCCCCCCTCCCCTTCATTATGCTTTATGCTCACCCCCCTGATGCATTTGCGCCTCTACGACCCTCTGCGGCGGCGATGGCGGCGACTACGGCGGCGGGTTGCTTTTCATCTCGGCCTTCGGCCATCGGGGCCTTCGCAGCTGGGCGTGCAGCTGGCCGACTCTCTCCCAAACCCCTCTTGGGCGACGACGAGGCAGGGCCCATCTCGATCCGATCGGTCCGCTTTGAGGCCAGCCAGCTCGATTCGATTCGGTTCCCTTGCTCGGGCGGTCCAATGCTGCCCAATGTATGCATGGCGCCGTTGAGCATCGTGGCGCAACCGATCCCGACTCCGTGCCAATACTGCCCAATCCGACGCACACTCAGATCCAGTCCGATTTCCCGATTCGAGGCTGACTGACCCCGCGACGCCGCCTCGGACGGGCGGCCAGCCCTTCGCAGGCGGTCGGGCACCGCCGGGGCCGCGGCAGCGGCCAGCCCATGGCGGTGCTGCGGACACGGCGCTGCGCCGCCCCGCGCAGCCGCCACCGGTCGTTGGCTCGGTGGGGAGCGCCGGACTCCAGACTCCCATGCATCGCAGATAGGGGCCCGACAGCCCACCCCGCCCAGGAACGTGCGGTTTTCTCTAGGCGCTCGGCGTGGAGGAAGCGTTCCGAGGCTCCCAGAAATCTGGAGCGCTCTTCCTTTGCAATCCTGGGTATTCTTGTTACCTTCATTCTGGCCTCCAGGGGGGCTGGTTTTGGGACCAGAGGGCCATCAGTATTGCGTTCTCGGGCACGCGAGTGAAGTGGACCGCCAGGGGATTCTGAGTATAGGGCCTTTCCCACGTATTCTTCTTTCATCCCTCCGTCTCGGCCCACCTTCTTCTCCTGGGTGCCCCCGCCATGCCGACAAACGCGACTGACAGATTCACGAATGCGGTTGGCATGCGCTGGCATTCTGTCGTGTTCTGCGCGGGCGCCGCGGGCAGAGCGCTCGAGGTGCCAGTGGGTCCCTCGACTCGAGCGCCCTCCGCGTAGGGGCGCGTCCCATCCCATCTCTGAGAGCCAGGACCACCAGCTGCCACTGTAATTTGCGTGTGTCAGTCCTGCTCGATGAATGTCATGGCATGGAGTTCTTCACAACGGCACGTGAGTCTTGAGAGCTTTGGTGTCTTCGTCATTGGTGCCGCCCCTCCCTCCGCAGTTGCTTGATTTCGGGATTCATGCGTGCCACGAGCAACGAGGAGGCTGGATGGAGGAAGTAAGGATGAAGATGAAGCAGGGATGAAAGGGAAGTGAGGAACGGGGAGGAGGAGGGAGAGGGGGGGTAGGCGGAACATGGAAGAGAAGGGGAGGAGGACGAAGGATGATGAGGAGACCGAGGAGGAGGAAGAGAAGAAGAAGGAGCCGAGGTATTGGTGGGGACCTTGGCATGAACATAACAGTCAGGCTCACACCAGCGCAATCATTCACGAAAAACTAACTCAGAGGGAAAATATCCCCCCTCCCTCCGAGTGCCCGAATGCGGAAGACAGCGCGCCGAGGGCGTGATGCAACGCGGGAGCTTCGTGGAAACAAGTTTGTCTCACACCTCGGAGATCTCGGGTGCCAGATGCCACAGCCGATTCGGTTTCCTACTTGCGAACGTTGACGCCCTGAGTGCGGGTGGTGGCCGTTCTGGCCTTCCCGCCCCTCATCTTCTTGTCTCCGCCCTCCGCATGGGTCCATGTCGGCCCACCCCTCAGACGCTTCCTGGCTCCATAGGGAGCTCCACCGAGTGCCCCAGTGGCAGGGGTTGCATGGCGGCCGCGCCCCATTTCGGCACTCCAGGTGCGCCGCATGCGAGACGTGAGCAACGCACGCCAAGTGCGCAACGCGCGCCGGGTGCGCCGTGCGCACCGTGTACACTGGGTGCGGCAGGTGCGGCATGGGGGAGGAGTGGGGAGGAGGAGGGGAGGAGGAAGGGAAGAGGAGTCGGGAGGAGCAGGCCGCGCAGCGCAGGCACACGCGGGGCCCCGCCGGCGACGCCCTGAGCACCACGACGCAGGCCTCTGGGGGCGGGGGGGGCAGGACGAGGCCCGTGCCGCGTCGGCACGGCGGCAGCGCGTGCGGTGGGCGTTCAGCACAGGAACTCGGGAGGTCGATGGAACTCACACCCTGCCAAGTCGGTTAGCGCATTTCCTCGTTTCAGTTCTTTTGACGGGGCGTTGTGGCTGCAGTTTTTGCGGGCCTGCGTCCGCTGGGTCTGACCCCGCATCGCATCGCATTCATCAAAAGGTATTTTGCTCAAGGGGACTCCGTCCTCCCCCGGACGTCCGTGTCATGACGATATCATCCTGGAGCCGCCCGCGGCGCGCGGAGTAATCTCAATAATTTGTTATGTCAAAATGTCTGCGTGCTTGTGGGCGCCTCGGCCCTGCAGTGCGGGTCGCTGTCGAAGTCGCAATCCTCGTGACGACGCCCTTGGCCCCCTCGATCCGATGGTTCCAAGCTCAACAGACAATGCAATCGGTGGAAGATGAGCAAGCGAGATTTTCGACCTGACCGGATCGAACAATTACAAGCAGCACAAGCAACCATGTGTCATGCTTCGCGTACCCCAACCAGCCCGTTCAGAAATCTTGCCCATGACAGTTGACGGGGAATTTAAACTTGCGTGAGGTATGCTTGGAGTAAAATGTTAGCCAGCGTGGACTGCGTGCTTCCAGCAGTCTATGTGGTGCGCTGCCTATGTTATGCAATATGCGTGGTGCTATAGATGATTTGCAAAATATTCGGTGCAAAATATTTGGTGCAGTCGTATGTGGTAGGGGCAACGTTGTGCAATATATGTGGTGCAGTTCATGTTGTTGTACATTGTATGTGGTGCAGTCGAACTGGTGCAATCTACGTGGTGCGGTTCACATTATGCTATCCATGTGGTGATGTCGGGTTTATGTGTGGTGATGTCGGCTATCCATGTTTATACCACGCTCTTGCAAACATCCCACCCCACCCCACCCACCCGCATGTTGGTTTGCAAAGCCCATGCGGCGGCGAGTGCGATGAGTGCTTGGCGTTGGCTGTTGCATCTTTGCGGCCTCGCACGCTCGCGCGCACAGCGGCCAGCTAGTTTGGCGCGACCGACGCGGCCGCGGCGGCGCTGGCCGTTGGGCCCCCTGCGGGCACTTCAGTGCGAGTCGGTGACTTGGGTGGGCGCGGCATCATGGCGACGCCGACAGACACCCCTTGAACAGAGATGCCTTGTTATAAACGCGTGCGCGCGCATATTGTTTCCGCTCAGGGGATGGCGACGGCTGGGGTAGATACCGGCTTGATTGGGACGATCGGAGTTCGTATTTATATCGAGCGATGAGGCAGGACCGCATTCGAATTTTCCACGCCCGGCGGGGGAGCGATCATACAGGGGGCTGGTGGTCGATCCGATTTTTTCTGCAATCTGAATTCACCCCGCCGAATTTGAAGTTGTCAGCTCTACTGCTCGCGCAATGGCCCCACCCGTCCACTTGCGACTTCGCGCGAAAAGCGCTTGCAGCTGCGATTGCGACAGCTGCTCGGCGCTGGCTGGCGCACCGCTACGGCGGCGCTAGCGCGCGCGGGCTCGCGCGCAGAGCGGCCTGCTTGTCTGGCGCGACCGACGCGGCCGCGGTGGCCCTAGCCGATGGCGGCGACTTACCGGCCCATCCCATAGGCCGCGCTGGCGCGGGGGAGCTCCGCTGCGCATGGGTGGCTCGAGCGGGGCGCCATCGCGACGACGTCGACAGCGGCGGAAACGAACATCGACACGGCGGCGCCAGCGCCCGCAGGTTCGGTCGCAGAGCGGCCAGCTAGTGTGGTGCGACCGACGCGGCCATGGCGGCGTTGACCGTCAGGCGTTGCTGGGCGCGCCTCGCGGGCCGCGCCGACGCGCGGGCGCGTCGCTGCGGGCGCGCGCGCCATCGCGGCGGCGTCGACAGCGGCGGGCGCGATGACGATGGCGGTGATGATAGCTGCGACGATGTCGGTGACGACGGCGAGGCCAATGACTTTGCGGGCGCCGACCACGACGATGGCGCGCACGCGTCTGCGACGAAGGTTCTCGCGGGAATTCGATGCGCGTCCCCTGCCGACGAGCGCGAGTGGCCCGCGCGGCACTGCGCGACAAGCATCGCGCATCCCCCCCCCACCACCACCACCACCACCACCGCTACCGCCGCCGCCGCCGCCGCCGCCGCCGCCGCCCTGCAGGCGCGCAGGAGCGTACTCGCTTCGACGCGCGCGCGCGAGAATCAGAACTCGCCACAGCGCGCGCCATTGTTTTGACCGTCGCGCTTCAAAACCCCCACGCCGTCGGTGACCTACCTCATTTTGAACTCCGCGCGGGACCTTGAGCGGCCCGCTGATTTCAGGATTTCGACGCGCGCGCGACCACGCGCGCGCGTAGATTATTTTCCGTTTGTTGCAAAGGATTATGAAAAAATGATGAGCTGTCAGAAACGAGCGCGCGTCGCATAATTCGGCAGGGGCGACGCGGGGGCGCGGGCGCCGGCGTGGCCGGGGAAACCTGCATTGCATTTGAAATTCTAGACGCTTCGCGTATCCCAACCAGCCCGTCCAGAAACGACGCCCAGGCGAGTAGAGGGTCGTCCTGGGGGGTTTTTCGGCGTCTTGGGTGCCTCGGGGGGGCCTCTGTGGGCCGTTCGGGATCCTCTTTGGGGCCTCCTGGGGGCCTCTTGGGGCCTCTTGGGGCCATCTTGGGGCCTTTGGGGGCCTCCTGGGCGCTTCTTGGGGCCTCCTGGGCGCTTCTGGGGCGCCTCTGGGGGGTCTCTTGGGGCCTCTTGGGGGTCTCTTGGGGGCCTCCTGGGGGCCTCCTGGGGGCCTCTTGGGGGGCCTCGGAGCCATCTTGGAGGAGATCGCTCAACGAAGGGGGGGTCCCTAATTTCAGTCCCCCCCTCAGGAGCCACGATCCTCGTGAGGGGTGTCGAATTTTAGCCCTCCCAGGAGTCGATCTTGGACGCTCTGACTACCCGCGCCCCCCCCTGTCCAGGTCAGTGGGGAGGGGGTAGGGGGAGGGGTAAACCCCTCCCCGAAGGGGAAGAAGGAGGGGTGGAAGAGGAAACGCTCTAAACCACCGACGCCCAGAGGGCTGGTGGGATTATGGATGGGACAGAGTCGCGCGTTAATTGCAGTGCCCCGGGGGCGGCGAGCCCGGCCTCGCCGGGGGAAGGTGGGGTGTTTTTTTTGTGCGAAGGAGAAGATTTACGTTGCGCGACCTGCGTTGCGCAATCCATGCGGCGTCGTCTTTGCGAGGGACTTCGTTTTGCCAAACCGAGAATTGCCAACCCCACTGTTCGCGCAATCACCCCACCCACCCCCCGCAACTTGGCGCGATCAACCCACGCGGCGGCGGTTGCGACGCCTGTTCGGCGTTGGCTGGAGCGTTGCTACGGCCGCGCTAGCGCGCGCAGGCTCGCGCGCGTAGCGGACTGCTTGTCTGGCGCGACCGACGTGGCTGCGGTGGCGCTGACCGCCGGGGATCTTCCCGGCGCGTCTCCCAGGCCGCGAAGACGCGCGGGCACTTCAGTGCTTGTGTATTCGTTTGGTTTGTTATATGATGTTATGTGGTTCTCTGTCATGTGAGGTTATTGTCTGGTTTGTTTGGTGGCGTTGTGTTGTGCCCTGTTCGCTCATGGTATACAGTGTTTTGTCGAGATAGTTCATGATATGTTCTACTATGTCGTATTCAGTATAGTAGATTGTGCATGCCATGATATGGTATTTTCTGTGATGATATGTCATGGTCTGGTTTGTAATGATATTGCTAATGTTATGTCATGATCGCGTTCTGTTATGTTATAGTATATTGTGGCGTGTTGTGGTATCTCGTGTTCGTCGCTATGCTATGTTGCCGTGTCATGTCATGTTATGAGCGTTGTGTCGTGATAGGATATGTTCCGCCAATATGTGTTATGTTAGGCTCGGTATTGTTACGTTATGGTGTGTTATGTCATGTTATGTCTTGCGCTGTGTTGCAATGTCATGTTTCGTGATGGTAGAGTGCGCTGTAGTGTGTCATGATTTGCTATGGTATGTTCTGGCATGTTTCCTCTGTCATGTTACGTTGCGTTATGTTGCCTCATGCTACCCATTGTTTTGTCATTTGTCTGCCATGCTATGTTATGTTATAGTGTTGTGTCGACTACGTTGTGCGATTATGTCATGGTATGATAGGGCATGTTATGTGTTGTTATGCAATGCTATGGTTGCAAGGCTACTGTCATATGATGCTCCGCCATGTCATGTCATGATCGTGTCTTTTATTATGTTGCACTGTAGGTTAATATGTTGTGTTCTGTCGTGTTCGTCGCTCTGCTCTGTTGGTGTGTTATGACATGTTAGGAACGCTGCGCCATGATATGATGTGGTCCGCCAGTGCGTGCTATGTTATGCCCAGTCATGTTATGTTTCGGTGTGCTATGTCGTGTTATGTCCTGCAATGTCATGCCATGCTGCGCTTCGTGTTGTTATATTACGCTGTGCTTGTCATGGTATTGCTATCTTATGTTCTGTCGCGCGATGTCGTGCATTGCTGTGTTTTTTTCGTGTTTGTCGAAGGCGCGAGGCGGGGCTCCCAGAGGCTCGGGGGCTCCCGGGGCAACTTGGTCCGGCGGCTGCGGCTGCGGCTGGGGCAATTTGGTCCGGAGGCGGGAGTCCCAGGGGCTATCGGGGACTGTCGGGGCAACTTGGGGTCCGGCGGCCGCGGCGAGCAGTCGCGTTTGTCGAGGGCGCGAGGCGGGGGTCCCAGGGATTCTCGGGGACTCTCGGGGCAACTTGGGTCTGGCGGCCGCGGCGCGCGCGGGGTTGGCTGGGGAGCCTGTTCTTGAAATCGAACGACCCCAACCTGTCGGGCGGGGAAATACTTCAACATGCAAGCGCGGCCGACGGGCGCGAGTGGCCCGCGTTTCCCTACTCGACAGGCATCGCGCCACCCCGCGCGCGCTCGCGCTTGCGCGAGGGAGTCCGAATGATTTCGACACGCGCGCGCAAGAGGCCCGCGCGGCCTGTGAA